CAGTGATGGCCACTAATGGCCATAATTGGTTGTTATAATATTTTGTGATACCAGTTATTGCCAGGCTTGTTTTTTAAGGAATACATTACCCTAAAATAATCAAAATACAAAATATTTATACTCTAAGGTACCTAAAATAAGCAACAATACACAAGTATAAAAAAATTTGTTGTTATAAATTTGTAGCAAGAATTTAAAAATGTGCTTACCTTAAAATTTTCACAGCAAACACGAGAAAACACATCGGAATTTTACACTGTCCGATAACATGTGGTTTACAACAAAAGTATCGTGAACGAGAAGCTTGTGCAATGGTACATAGTTGCCAAATACTATTGGTTACTGATAATCGCAGCAAATAATATACTATTTTGAAATGTTTCCTCAATTTTTAAGTTTTTGTGACGAAGTAGCAATGAATGGTAGAGTGGCGACGACTGGTAGTTTACCTTATGTCTGTTCAAGTAACAATGAATCTAATACCGAAAGCCTCATTTGCGGGTTAAGTACAAAGTAGGGTAGGCCAAGTTTGAGAATTAAATATTTTGTGAAGCAATTCTGAACTTTTTCAAGTCTCTCTTTATGACAAGCATAAAGAGGACACAAAATAACTTCGAACCAGTAAAAAGTTTAATGAATTTATAGCATCATAGTCTGTTATATGGCGGGTATTCCTTTTGATGAACCCGAGCATTCTGAATGCTTTATTACAGATATTGTTGACATGATCAATAAAGTTAAGATCGTTATCGAAAGTAATCCCCAAATTGCATAAGCTATTGACAGGTTGAAGAGTTACATCATCAATGAAGTAGTTTCCAGTGACAGGCTGCTTTATGAAATCTCAACACATTATATTTCTTATCGTTTTTAAACAATTAGGGTCACAGTAGATACAAAAGCTATCCAGGTCATTCTGAATAAATTCAATATCAGTGGTAGATTGCACTGTTTTGAAAAACTTTAGGTCGTCTGCATACCGAAAGGTATCCAAGTATTTAAACACAGATTTATGGTCATTAATAAAGAGTAGAAATAATATAGGCCTATGTGCGAACTTTGCGGAACCCCTGAAGTCACTTGAACTGTTTCTGACACACTGTCAGCTATCCTAACATTCTGCAATCTACTGAAATCCCCGTTATCTCCAATCTGCCCTGATGGCATTTTCTCACCAATATTGATTTCAATTATTTTGAAAGCTAGATATATGTCCTTAGTCCCTAATATAAACTTCTTAACATTGTCACAAATGTACGTTTTGCTGTTCAATATTTTTGGGTCTATTTGATATTGTATTGATGTATTTCTTTTTGAATTGCGATAATTATCTATCTATATACCCATTTACCTTATAATTATTCTGTCGAGAGGGTGATTTTGTTCTGTGATTATCAAGAAATTTGTGAATTAACTTATAGGTACTAATGTTGAAACTTTAGGTCAAACATCATTTTCCACAGTTTTGAGCTAGTCATACAATGCAATTCCAAAATGTATAACTTCTATATAAGTTTCGTTTTAATTTTATTTTTGGAAAAAAAGAAAACGGATACAGACTGGTTTTTTAGCTGATCTCACTTACCAGAAATGGTAAGACCTATAAAGTCGCTTAAACTAGATAAAAGTTTTCTATTTTGGGTAACTAAAATAACTTCTTTTCAGATCTAGAATATCAGTTGTTTTTGAAATATTCGCCAAAAACTACAATAGACGAATTTCGTTTTTTGGCTCTACTGCCTCAATTTCGAATGATATAAGGGAAGGCAGAAAAACTATCAATAGTATTTCATATTTATTATAATCTGATATAAAACAATTTGCAATGCAACGTTTGTATGAAATTCAACGCGCCGAACATGACCGATCGCATCGCGAGAACTTCCGAATACAGTTTCGGTTTCGGTCGTAGTTCCGGCAGGTTTGCCGCCGAAACTAAATCGAAACCCGTTTTTTTGCCGAAACTCGACCGAAACCCTAATCGAACTTTCGGTCGGACACTAGGTACTTGTTTATCATGCGCAGGAAATATTATCATAAGATATATTAGAAATTGGCCAATAAAAACATTGTATGTACTGTTTGTTCTTCTTCAGAGCTTAGGGTTATATAGTCCTGCATCCAGAAGAAATAAAAAACTAAGAGGCCAACATCATAAAAAAGTTTAAGAGAATAAAGATCGAATACCCTCATATGAGGTCAAAATGAAGAATATATTATTGTTTAGTAATATTTTATAAAAATGATAATCTTTTCTTGTACAGTGATTAGTTGTCCAAAGGATTATTATGAATTGATGCACCTCCTCCATCACGATCATCCTGTGAATTGCGATTAACAAAATACATTCAAAATTATCTGAAGGGCTGAATTATTTNACCGAATCAGGTTCTTTGAGTTCGGCAGATCCGTACTCTCAGCATCTGACCTAAAAGACCACTAACCATACAAACTAATCGGCTTCGTTAAGAAGCTTGGTTTATTTGGACGAGTGTGAATAGGTGTGAGCAACCCATAAGGGTTTATGGGTTGCGGTGGAGGGTCGAATAGATCCACTCACTTCAGACCTACCTACCTACCTCTCCAATATGTTGTAAACCATCAAAAGCAGCATGGGAGCTGACGCCCAGTTCCGCCATCTCACACACTGTTTCTGATGGGTTAGTCTCCATGAGTGTCCTCCAATCCTTGTCCTGGATAACTGTAGGTGTAGGTCGAGGCTGAAATCTCCTGATCGAAATTTCGCAAACCGACGAACAGTGTATTCATCAACACTAGCATTGTCAAATGCCTGGTTAATTTTTCAGGCTGTTTCGGTAGCGCTTTGGTTCGATTTGAATTCGTAGAGAAAAATTGGCCGAAAATTGCATAACGACATCATATAGTAATAAGCTGAAAAAAAGAAAAAATTAAAATTTGGAAAAAAAAGAACAATGTATAGAGTACAAAATTCTCTACGACACAGTAGAATAAATACTTATTGAGATATGGAGCTATAAAAACACATGACATTAAAACGGACAAAACTTTTGAAACAACCTAATAGAATCCACCACCACCTTTTCAGGGCATTGATATTTCAATGCCCTGAAAAGATGTTGAAAAAGAGTTATTAATCAGAGTGTCATTTTTTTTTTCATCATTTATGAGTGAAGAAGTTGATAACTTTACGTTGATTCTTGAAGGAATGAAATTTGTAGTTCAATTTTACATAGTCGAAATATTTTAATATTGTATTCTCATGAACCAGATACATATTTTGTCAAGTCTAACATAATTTCTGCAAAGTTTTTCCTGCATAAGTATACTTTAAAAGTACCCCATAAATCCTCAGATAACAGCTGAGATAAAATGGTTTTTGTATCATAAGAATACATACAAACAGATAAGATTTAACATTCATTAATTATATCCCTGTCTAAAAAAATTATATACTATCCGCCCTTTTAGTTGATCCCGCAATTGCTATCTCGGAAACGGAAAGACCTACAAGGTCGGTTAAATAAATATGTTGATGTTACCCTAAACGCATAGCAAATAGATGACAACTTTTTGCTGGTTTCCCTAATATGTTTTTGATTCTTGAAGATGTTCATACATTGTAGACTTTTATCCAAACAGACGTGTTCACGGAGCCTTACGTCATTTCTACCGGTTTGGCCTGTATATACTGGAGAGCATTCGCCACTCTATTCTATATATACCTGATTTTTTCATTCTGTTTAAGGCAAAACCCAAACGAGATAGAATGAAAAAATCAGGTATATATAGAATAGAGTGTGGCGAATGCTCTGCAGTATATATAGGCCAAACCGGTAGAAATTTTGACGTAAGGTTCCGTGAACACGTCTGTTTGGACAAAAAGTCTACAATGTATGAACATCTACAAGAATCATAACACAAGATAAGTAATATGTAACATATGTAATAAAGGAAAAAAAATAATTTGTTGAGAGCCATGGAAATTAACAAATCAATCAAAAACCAGAAATGTATACCCCTAAACGAGCAACACGATTTATGAAGGTCTCCACTCTTGAATTTATAAGTTTAACAACCCCTATTATCTTCAGTGTTGAATTTTAAAGTTGTCACCCAGGTTCGTTTAAATACCTGTCCTTACATCTTACCTAAAAACTCCCGATATAATCGAGTTTTCAAAGTTCACATTTCAGTTTTATACTTGATAATGGTGTTAAACCCGAAACCGGTCGTATAAATGAAATTAACTAGTGGTAACTAGACAAAAGTGTTTTTATTCATTTCATTAAAGTGGTCGAAAAGATTGTTTAATGACCAACCTACTGTTAGAATGTTTGTATCATCTGCAAAATTCACAAGATTAATATTTTCATTATTCACAATATCTAAGGCTAAATCATTTATGTAAAATATGAATATGTCCCTCAGGGACACCTACCACTGTCTTAATTTTCTCTGAGTAATATTCAATTCCCTAGAAATTCATAACTACTTATTGAAAATATGAACAATTTAATCTTTACCATGATTAAATATAGAACTGGAACTTCTAGCGTAGAATCCAAGAGATGCACTGTCCAAACTCTTCTCGACGCGCGATTCAGCAACTTGGTATGTGAAGAGAAGAATGTTGCTGTTCTGGTGTTAGATTTATCTTTACTTTACTGACCTGTTTTTATACAATACATTAGAACAAAAAAAACTATTGAGTGTATGAAACATCTGGTGCAGTTGAAACAGTAAATGTATGCAGCACCTCGTTAAAAGTTCAATATTACTATTACCAACCCAAAAGTGGGTATGCTAAACTCTCAATTGCCAAAGTAATATAATAAATGATAGATATTTCATATTCATAGTAATATTTTTATATCATAAGTTTTCAATGAATGATCATGTATCTGCTACTGAGGCAATTGAAAGATCACATAACATTGTTCAGAAAATGAGATTATCTATTTGTTTATTATCTATAATTTTTATCTTTTGTCAATATCATTATCAGGTACCAATTCATCACATACATTGCTACATTACCATGGTTTGTACAAGGTGTGAGAGCAAACTCTCAAACAGTATGTTTCAAAAAAATGTGGTACAGTGAACTTGTGGTGGTGTGGAAATATAGTTATCATCACTGTGAGGAATTCGATACATTAAAATTTTAATAGACCCTGTGAGAGTTGATATATTTCAAAGTGCTGCCGAAGACGAAAGCTTTTCAATGTCTTGGTTGTGGATCAAGGTAACGTTATTATTTTGAAAACTGGTGTAAAAATTAACTGAATAAAACAATGTCAGAACTTGAAAACTTTCTTTAATAGAAAATATAATTAACAGTAATCAATTGTGAACATATTATTTTTTTTTATCAATATCGGTCCCTTCTAGATTTCGTAAAGAAACTCTATAAAAGGGTTTTCGATCTTGTTGACCATGAAATCCTTTTGTACAAATCAGAAAAATATGGATTTAGGGGTATTTCAGTTAAATGGTTCAAACTTATCTTAAAAGTCAAGCACAATACATTAACAAAGATCAGTGTTCATCCTAACGTTTACACTTCTCTATATGAGTACCTTTAAGGCTCTATTCTCGGACATGTGCTTCATACAATTTATGTCAATGACTTTTTAGAAAATTTCGTTATATGTGGACGACAATTCCTTATTGGTTGATTGTATAAATTCAAACCAAGCACTGTTCCCAAACACCAGATCTTGAACACTTTTCTCGACGCGCCTTCAATCAACCAGGTTGACGTCCTCATGAGACGAAATATCCTGTGCTTCATCTCGTGTTCTCTCTCGCGTTTCACCATCGACAGAAAACTTGGTTGTTTTGGATTTATTTTACGCCAGAGATTCCAGTTTTAGCTTTCAATGGTATAAATTATAAAGGTCATATCTACAGTACACTTGGCTCACAGTGGAATATTCAAAGCCAGAATTAGTTTTCTAACAAAAAATTAGTCTGGAGAGATGAAAAATCATCCTTCTTCAGATTTAGAGAAATTTTTAGGATTTACTCTCACCGAAGATTGTAAGTGAAATCAACCTAAAAATATGTGAAAAAATTCACCAATCTGTTATTGAATCTGTTAACTATTATTGACTGTATCAAGTGAAGTATAAATGAATAATTTTATGAAATAAAATTTTAATTTTATGAAATAAAATTAATTTTATGAAATAGTTCTGTCTGAAACATTCGAATCATATTTAGAAGTACTTGTTGGAAAGGACTATCCAAATTTAAAAAAATATTTATATTTACCTGTATTGATGTATACTAGTTTTTGACCTCAAACAAAAAAGTATTACGATAAATTAAGCATTATTAGAAATACCAATACAAAGCTGGGGGAAGAAAAAACATATTTTTTTATTGAAGAAATGTCACTGTTAGAATTTAAACCATTTTAAAAAAACGTTAAATTAACAAAGCCTACTTCCCAGCTGAAGAGTTTATGAATAATTAATTGATATAACTGTTGAGATAGGTTAGGTTAGGTCCAAAGTGAGTGGATCTATTCGACCCTCCACCGCAACCCGCAAGGGTTTATTGTGGCTCACACCTATTCACACTCGACCAAATAAACTCTCCTTTTTGACGAAGCCTATTAGTTTGTATGGTCAGGTCAGATGGTAAGAGTACGGCTCTGCCGAACTCTAAAAACGTGATTCGGTCCCCAACGGGGTAGGCACAAAGTATATGCTCTGCTGTTTGATCGATAATGAGGTAGTCGGATAGTCAAGGTGCAAGATTCCCACCTTGATACCCGCGACAACCTTCCCATATGAGGTTTTTTGCACGTCAGATACACCTGACGATACCTTAGATTCAATCGTGCAGGGCTTTTTCGCCTCTGGTTTTGGTGAATCATCACTTAAGCGCAAACGTTTGCTAACCTGCTCATGGGGGTTTGTTCCTACACCTGGGGCAGATTCTGCGGACGCCGCTCAAGAATTTGGTGCAAGGCGGTTTCATAAGGTACCCCGCTCTTGAGGACACGACTCAGTCGTTTGCTGGCTGCACCACCAAACTTTTTTTTTAGGTTCAGTTATTGGATCAGTAGTTGGAGGGTTGAGAAGCTCTCGCTCCTGATCTAAATTCACAGGGAGGTCAGTTGGAGTCGAAAGCTCGACATCCATCTCTTCTGTAGACTCACTCCTGATCTAAATTTACAGGGAGGCCAGTTGGAGTCGTAAACTCGACATCCATCTCTTCTGTAGACTCAGCGTCAGAAAGAATTTTTAAGTTTACTCTGTCCATAAAAGTCCCACGAGTAGCTAGGGAAAGAAGGTCAATTACGATAGAGCCCCGCATTACCGTGTCAAGGCGATGCTACGACGAGAGGGCGCCCGGTATCTCGAAGGTTCCGTAGAGACAGCTGATAGTCTCAGTGTCATTCATCCTCTCGGCACGGATACACACACCTTAGGATTAAGCCATCGGTGTGTTGCCATTCAGTTAGGGAATAACAACCACAAGTGATTCTGTCATTTCCGTATCCAGCGGATACGGAAATGACAGAATCCACATCCCAAGCAAATGCACTCGCCAAACAGCATGCACAGTGGTTCAGGGAGTGAAAGATGAACAAAGACAGCCAACCCGCCTAAATGTTGTGATATTCAATGAACGTTCAATTGTATTTTTAAAGTTGTATACTGATTCAATGTACAATTTTACTTTCATCTTGAGATTCTAGAGTAGGCAGGGCATCATTCCACCAAAGAGTCCAATAATCAGATCAACCATCTCGATATTTCATCCGTTTACATCCTCTTTTCGGTCGATATTGGTCTCATTCGATGCTGAAAATTCAAGATGAATTCGTCTTACTTTGATGGTCGAGGAAGACTACATCGGGCTTATTTGCTTTTATCAGCCTGAGGATGGAGAATGAATAGTTCCAATAAATTTGGCACATCTTATTACCCACAACAGATTTAATATCCGTCGCAGCATAATATAACACCGGTGTCTCGTCAATACCGTAGGAGTGCCGAATGGGTTATAAAGCACTCGTAGAACCGCATTTTGTCGATGGATATAGGCTGTGACCGCATATGCTGGACATGCCATCATCAAATGCATAAGGGTTTCAGACACCTTGCGACAGAGACCTCAATATCCATCACGAGAGTACAGTAGATCAAGGTGTAGAAGACACCATAGGACCATGCAAAATGGTCTTAAATTCCAACTTTTGCCAACTCGACCCAAGAAAAGCAAAGGTCAGGAGCTTTAATAAGCCGGAGACTTCAACGTTGTTAAAAAAGAGACCATGCATAGGCTTGTCTTTGTGTAGACGCAGGGGTAAAGTAATCTCTGCGGCTTTTTTGCTGAACAAGTTTCAACTCAATGACAGAATTCAGGTCACCTTGTTGAGTGTCAAAAACTAAACCAAGTTTATCGGCCGCTCGGGCAACTGCCTTAAAGAGAAATGCTCCAATTCCCAGAATCTAAGAAAAACTACAGTAGGCTTACCTACAAAATTTGTGACATGAATTGAAATTAAAGGTCTTTTAAGCTTTGTTATACATAATCGGGATAAACGTTTGAATTCCCAAATAAAAGGGGATTTTGTATTCAACCTTACAGTTATGTAACTTGGAACTGTAAATATGAAAAAAAATTCGAAATCAGCCGAAAACTGGGATATTGACCAAAATTAGAAACCGAGAAAACAAAATTTGAATAAAACAGGAAAAACAACACTACAAAAGTATTACCGGTATTCATGATTGCAATTATATTGAACTATTGCAAACATTTGATCTTGTGTATTTCTTGAAAAAAGAATAAAACAAACCTCTGTTCTTTTTTTACATAATTTGTTGAATGGTATAATGGATTCTCCAGAATTACTTTCAGCAACAGATTTTCTTGTACCAAGATAACATCTAGAATAAATACAACTTTTTTGTGCAAAAGAGCTCAAACTAATTTATTGTTAAAATCACCAGTGAATTTGATGTGCAGACATGCAAACCAGCTGTCTACCTCATATGACCAACTAGATGACTCGTAAAATTGGTCCCCTTATAACGAGAATATATGTAAAAAGATATCGTCCCATATATTTCTTCTGAGGCAGATGAAACGGATTTGTAATGAAGATGTTCTACTTGATATCTACTATTCTCTGATTCATAGTAGAATTTCTTACGGCATTATTTTATAGGGTAATTCTAGTTCAGCAATACATGTTTTCCGTTCACAGAGAAATGCATTGAGAATCATTGCAAATGAAGGGCTGAATTATTTAGATAAATAATTCATTTTTTTCTCAAAATCAGTTTTTTGAAGATTCATTAAGAAGAAATCACAAAAAAATTATTGTTGAATTAGAAACATTTAGGTGGCTCAATAAAAAAAACAGTCTTCATTCAATTGGTGGTACAATGTATAAGTTATGCTGTTAACTATATTATAAAGAATAACTCCATTCAATTCACACACAACTAAACAGATATACTTTGCTTTATTTTATGTAGGAGTATTTACAAAATAAAGTCTAGCCTGAGTTTACACTTGTTGCAAATGTTTTGAAATAATTCAATGACTGAATATCATGCCAATAATGGTTGAAAATAATACTCAATTGCCTAATGATGACATTGTTTATTTAATAGAGGATGTGTGTAGTTATTTTCACTTTTTCTCTTTAACCCTTGATTGGATAATCAGGTAGTTGAAACTGGGTAATTTGTATGCTAACTACATATTTTATTATGATGATTTTATAACTTGAAATAGATTGGGCTAAAATTTGTTGAAAAATAATATTGGAATATTTCTACACTTCTTTTTCATTTAGTTATTTGTAAAGTTGTTGGAACAAAAAGAGAGCATGTTACATGTGTCCAACCACTGTCCTGAACGTTCCCTGTTGTAAGAGGATCTACTTTTCATCACTCATGATACTCCGATTCAGAAAAGGTTCGTTTTGGTTGCTCAAAAGCAAACAAGAACAGACCTCAAAACGTGACAATTTTTGTTGATCGTTCAAATCGTGGGGCACCCACTTTTCGAGCTTTTTGACCTCTCCAATACTACTCTCCTGAATAGAGAGGACTGGATCCTGCCGGAGAAGGAAATATTAAGAACAGATAGTTGTTGGTTCACAGATGGATCAAAAACACCTTCCGGTTCTGATGCAGGTGTTTTCAGTCACAGATCCAGGACAGAGTTATCTACCTGCCTAGGAACTTATGCGACTCTATTTCAAGCGAAAATTTACGCTATTGAATTGTGTGCGGAGGGATTGGATAAATCCAACCTCACTCACAAGTCAATACAAATATTCTCGGACAGTCAAGCGGCGTTGGAAGCTCTTGCCTCCTACCGAGCAACGTCTAAATTGGTAGCAAACTACCAAAAAAAGACTCTCCTCGATAGGAAGACTAAACAGATTGTCTCTGGTCTGTATTCCTGACCATACTGGCCTGGAAGGCAATGAAGCTGCTGACTCTCTTGCAAAGAGGTTGCTGCAAGCGGCTTCATCGGATCAGAACCAGACATTGGCATCGCTTTGGGCTTTGCCAAACAAACATTGAACACCTGGATGGCAAGAAGAGTTATGGACTTCTGGCAGAATCTTCCAGGATTGGCTCACTCCAAGGCGTTTATTTACCCTTCGAAGCTTGATTCCAAACAGTTGTTGCGCTACAGTAGGGATCAACTACGATGTCTAACAGACCTTCTTACAGGTCACTGTCATTTGAATCATCACATGCAGAGACTTGGACTGTCGGAAGACAGTGTGTGTCGCCTCTGTCTGGAAAATGATGAAACTGCAGAGCATATACTTTGTGCCTGCCCCGCTGGGGACCGAATCAGGTTCTTTGAGTTCGGCAGATCCGTACTCTCACCATCTGACCTGAAAGACCACTCAC